TCTATCTGCCAAACATGCACATATAGACAAATACAACAAACCACACACAGACATATGCACACATACACCTACACAAACACAAACACACACATGTACACACACACTCACATACACAGACACACACACGCACACACACACACAGACACACACACGCACACACACACACACACACACGCACACACACACTCACATACACAAACACACACACACATGTACACACACAGTCACATACACAAACACACACACACATGTACAGTCACATACACAAACACACACACACACTCACACGCCCGCCCGCAAAAAGTGACCTACCCACCCACCTGTTCCTGATGAGTAGCAGCTCCCTCCTGTCCATGTGCCCAGCCGGCACAGCCTTCATGTTTCCTGTCTTCAGGTACAGCAGCAGGCCCAGCTCAGGGTCAGGGTGGTGCTCACGGGTCAGCAGCGTGTACAGGATCACCTAGGCAACAAGGTCAGAGGTCAGAGGGTATAAGAAGGACCTAGGGAATGAGGTCAAAGGGTACATAGGGTCAACTACGCAAAATGGTCAGCAGAGTATACAGGATCACCTAGGTAACAAGGTCAGAGTGAATACAAGGTCACCTTGGCAAGACAGTCAAAGGTCTGAGGGTATACAAGGTCATATAGGCAACAAGGTCACAGGTCAGAGGTATAAGGGTCATCTAGCAACAAAAGTGGTTTTACCTGACTCCTGTGTTCTATAGAGTTGGTCTCACCTGACTCCTGTGTTCTATAGAGTTGGTCTCACCTGACTCCTGTGTTCTATAGAGTTGGTCTCACCTGACTCCTGTGTTCTATAGAGTTGGTCTCCCGGCCAGTCTTCAGCTCCAGAGGCAGGATTCTCTGCAGGGGGTCCCTTCCCTTCTGTCGAGGCTGGATCCGCACTTCTGTGGTCACATCCAGCTTCCCCTTCAGCCCAAACCTGCACCGGGGCAGAAACGGTCTCATTCAGCAGTTTCAGGGCAAAGGGGTCTCACTCAGCAGTTAAAGGTTAGCAGGATCTCATTCAGCAGTTCCAGGGCAGCAGGGTCTCATTCAGAAAACACGAATAATGAACTTCACCCAACATTCTGCACTACCACTGGTATAAAAAAGATATTAAGTAATTTATAAATTATATAGTAAATATATAAAGAAAGAACTGGGCCAACAAGTAAGTTTTATTCAAGCAGATTACATGTAGGGCTCTGAACACTTCCGAAATGAAGAGAGTTGTTGACCCCTGACCTTGGGGCCCAGACGTTCTCCTCGATGTCCCTGACCGCACTGATGACCACGTTGCTCCTCTCGTCGCCACGGTTACAGTAGGTCGTCCCCGGCAGCTTGACCTCCAACTCTGCCCCCCGTGACCTGTAGAATGTGTCGGCCCAGCTGCGCATCACCGGCAGGTACTCCGCTATCTCCTCCTGCAGCTGGGACTGGGTCAGGCTCAGGCTGAACCTGGGGGCATAGGTCAAGGTTAGACCTGGGGCAAAGGTCAGGCTCAGGCTAAACCTGCATGGGGGTATAGGGAAGGGCAAGTTTAACCTGGGGTAAAGGTCATAGTCTGGACCTGGTGGCAAAGGTCGGGTTAAGGTTAACCTGGGGCAAAGGTCAGACTCAGGCTGAACCTGCAGGGCATAGGTCAAGGTTAAACCTAGGGACAAAGGTCAGACTAAAGCTGGGGACAAAGGTAAGATTCAGGCTGAACGTGGGGGTAAAGGTCATGTTAAGGTCAAGATTATAGAAGGTCAACAACAAGACTTGAACCCTTACATGTCCCGGAGGTGCCTCTGCTTCTGCAGTGCCTGCTGGGAGATCTGCTTGAGGGAGTCAGCGCTGAATGAGGTAGATGTGGCTGCCTGGAAGACGTCGTGTAATATGGTACCCAGTAGCATCTGCTTACTGGAGCCATCTGTGCCCTGGGGTGGTAACCACACTAAGTAAATCACCTAAAACTAATGTTTTGTACCTTCAACCACTTTCTCAGAACTGCTCCCTGATAGAGCTCGATTCAATTGGCTACAGTTTCAGTAAGGTGACAAGTATTAGCCATGGTTGCCAAGGAACTGGATGAACAATGATTCAATTTCTGAGATCCTTGGAAGTTGAAGAAAATTACATGTTATACAATAGATATGATGATGTACTGTGGTGATAACTGAAAAATTTCATGCACGTGGCATGTTTTGTACCTTCAACCACTCCTGCTCCCTGACGAAGCTCTATTTTACTGATTACAGCTTCAGTCAGGTGCAGATCATTAAAAGTTGAAGAACATTACAGTGTACAAATTGTACTACTATAGATATGTTAGATCATACTCAATGCCCACCTTGAACCTCTCACTGAGAACAGCTCTGCGCAGACACTTGATCCCATTGGCTACTGCCGTGGATGACATCAGCAGGTCAGGGGTCACCACGATGTACCCGCGGTCCCTGTCCACAGTTCCCACGCCGTCCGCGCCGAATTCCGCCAACACGTGCACGATGTCACCTGATTGGATGGTTAAACCCGCCCAGCTGTCTCGCAGCACGCACGTCCGGCCGCTACGGTGCGCCGGATTGGTCAGCCGCAGGGTCAGCTGGGTCACGTACCCATCATGCTCCTCTGTCTCCACCCCCTGAACTCTGAACCTGCTGAACTTGGTACAGACCTCGGCAGTGCCCAGGGTTGGGTCAGAGGTCGGGTCAGAGGTAGAACTGGGGAGGACAAAAAGACAGATACTAGTACTAGTATTTTAAGTAACATTTTAAATGACATGACACACAATACACATTTTACAATACACATCCACAATACACATTTTACAATACACATTCTCCACAATACACATTTTATAATACACATTTTAGCTGGCTAACCAAAAGCAACAAGCACAATTAGACTAATGTCATATTGCTTTTGACAGGGAAGCAACTGATACAATTCAATCAATTAAATTTTTTTCTTTCCCCCTGGATAGGGTTAGCTTGAATCTGCTCACTCAAAATATATGTATACTGTATACTACTTTGCCTTTGAACATTTTAAACTAACACAACCTTTATTTCTACCTGTTGTATTTACTGGGACAATGAAACAGTACCCACCCAGTTCCCCTGCTGCCCTTGAAGGGAGACATCTGGCTGAAGCTCCTGGCCAGCTCCTGGTCAGCACCACCGCCGCCCGCCAGGTCATCAAAAAAACTGTCGTTCAGATCCTCCCACTCCACACTGTCTGCTCCAACTTCCTCCTGCTGGGCGGGGTCAGCTGTTGCCATGGCAATGGGTGTGGCCGTCTCCATGGCAACTGGCTTGTCTGTCTCCGTGGCAACTGGCTTGCCTGTCTCCGTGGCAACGGGCTTGTCTGTCTCCATGGCAACGGGCTTGTTTGTTTCCATGGCAACCAGTTGTGGTTCATCTGTTGTCGATGTTTGTTTCAGCTGTTGATTGGCAGGTGGAATGTCCTCTTTACTTTTTACTGTTAAAGGTGAATTAAGATGAGCCAGGGTGCTTCCTGAACTCTCTCCTGGGTCTGTAGCAACTGTTTCTGCTGCCTCCTCTGTCTTTTCGTCTGTCTTTCCCTTTGTCCTCCCAGCTGTACTCTCATCGTCCTCACCACCAGTTCTAGTCCTGTCCTGAGATATTCCACCACCAGCTTGCTGCTGCTCACATTCAGCTGGACTTGGCTTTCCTTCTACCTGTTCCTGTTCACAACTGACCTGTGGCTGAGTTTGTTGCCCTTGACCCTGAATTTCTTGCCCTTGACCCTGGATTTCTTGCCCTTGACCCTTAGTTTGTTGACCTTGACCCTGAGTTCTACCCTGTCCCTCCAGCCGAGCTGACAGGTTCTCCCTACACGTAACACCAACTCCCCTCCGCAGCTGTGGAAGTTCAAAACATACATGAATTTTTTTTCTCTGTCATATGCTAACATAAACAATATCCTGGGTTGTGACATTATATAACACTCCTGGCTAATCATTGGTTTACAGCATCTGCAAAGTTCTAGCTACATGTAGAAGTCCTGATGATGGAAAGAAGATCCCGGTGTACTCTTGTTTGCCTGTCTTGTGTTCAGCATTTCTAAAAACTTAGGCAATAACGACAGAGCTGAGTGATCCAGCCAAATGAAAAACAGATGGTAGCTGCAGAGACAGAACCTGTAGGTGATGAGGATGACTCACCTGTGTCCCAGGTGCATCAGGTGTTCTGCTCCTCTTGCCTTCAGGTGAGCTGCCGCGGGCAGGTGACCTCTTCCCTAGCAACGACCCCGTCCATGACAACCACTTCTTCCCACCCAAAGTTGTCCTGTTCCCGTCCTTAGATGACCCTGACGTGTTACCTGCCAATTTTCCTCTTCTATCCTCATCACCAGAAACATTTTCCACCCTATATTCAGAATTTTCATCATTTCCTCCTAAAACTAAAACCTTCTCACAATCCAAATTCTTCGTTGCTATGTAGCTGTTCTGTTTAGTTCTGGTTGCCAGGGACCTGATGTTCTCTCTTACTCTGGCTCGTGTCTGAGCTTCTGGGACAATTTCTGGAGAGTCACTCTGGACCAGTGTTACCATGGTTACCGCATCAGCACCACGCCCCTCCTCCTGTTCTGCTGTATCCGAGGAAGTTCTCTTCCCTGCATAGCCTTCATATTCACGTTCTGCCTCTGCAGAATGGTTGTCTTGACAACCTTCCCTGATGTTTACTTGCTTGTTCGTTGCCCCCTCAGGATCGATCACTAATGACTTGCTCAACTCCTTAGAGGAACCAAGACACGGGGATGCCCCTACTTCATATTTTGATTCTGCAGAGTGGTTGTCATGACAATCTTCCCTGATGTCTATTTGCTTCTTTGCTGTTCCCTCAGGATGGATCACTGGTGACTTGCTCAACTCCTTAGAGGAGCCGAGACACGCCGACGCTCCTTCCTCACCTGGCACGTTGTCTGGAGACCTGCTGGAAACGTCTTCCAAGACACTGCTGCTTCTCTTGCCAGCACTTCTCCCCAGCTGCTTGGCCACATTCTCCTTACACGCCCCCCTCCCCCTTAGCGAGAGTTTAGCGGCCCGAGGTTTGACTGTTGCTTGTTGTGTTTTTCGGACAGGTTTGTGTTTAGTTGGTGTTTTAGTCATAACGAAATCAGAGCTGTCGTCTGGGAACTCAGAGATGAGCTGTGTTCCCGCTGCCTGGGTGTCGGGTATCACCACGACCTCTGACCTGTCACGACCTAGGTCGGAGGTCACTTGGCAGGTCAGCTGTGTCTCAGGAACAACACTGATGGAACAGCAGGGTTCGTCTGGTTGGGCAGCAGGTGGGTTTGGTTTAGTTCTTCCTGCAGCTGAGGTAGATGGGCCTTTAGAACTCCCAGGTCCTGTTAAGGAATGAGCAAAATGATATCAAGAATAGCAAGAGACTAAAGGTACTGAGCAACCTTTAGAGCATTTGAAAACACATCAAATATGTTCATCCAAACTCACCTTTCCTAGCTGGCACGCCTACTTGGGTGAACAGACTTTTCCTCTGTGCGGGACCCTGTCAGTGTGAATGGGACAACAATAATTAAATAGTACCAACACTACATTTCTATGCTGGGCCCTGTGAGGTAATTATAAGAAATAGATGGACATCAATAAAACACCACGATTTCGACATCAATAAAACAGCAGCAATTTCAATTTCTATTTCCATCCCCATCTCTTTAAAATGTATTGGATATACAGAAAGTCCAAAGTTCATGTCTAACTTGACATCTGACACCTGACCTTGGAGAAGAACTGGTCTATGGCCGTCTGTCCGCCGGACTTCTGACTTCCCTCCTTAGCCTGGAGGAGACAATAAAACGGAATCTTATATGACAACTGAGCAAAAGTAATTATATATATATTAACTAGTATATATAAATCAATGTGTTTAAACCGGATAGACATCAGTTTTGCCCAACACGCCAGCTTTAGCTACTGACAACAGCAGTTGATATTTTATTCTACAAATTCTGCTCACCGTGCTGCTCTTCCTGCGTAGTCTCCCCATGGCCACTGACCTACAAAATGAAGATAAAAGGAATTCTTTAATATAATTTAACATGTAGACAAGAATGAGGCTGAAAATTTAATAAACACGAATATTTCTTTGAACCAAGCTCTTCATTCATGGGGATATAGTTAAAAGTAAATCAGGGGCTGCGGCTTGACTATATGTCCCAAAAAATCATTTTAAAAAATCAAAAATTTCAACGAACGCGCGCCCCCCTCCCTCAAACCTTGCCTTCTTTTTGTGTCCAAAGTCGCCCGCCGTCTGTCACCAAAATGTCCAACTCTTCTTACCTACAGTCGGACAGGTAACTCTGCTGACACGGACGTACATTCAGCACTAAAAACCGAAATACAACAACAAACTAAACCTCTCCTTGTCACTTTGTCAGTTTTGCCGCCAAGATTCTCTTTTATTTTTCCCGGCAAATTCGCGGAACTTCCGGTTTACCTCGTTCCGACATGTACCCATATCCCCAACTCAAAATTTACATACAAAGCAGGGAAGCAGAATTTATAGAATAAGTCTTGACTTTTTTTAGTTTTATATATAAATCTACGGTATTTTGTCGTTTATTTTCATATTTTGATGTTTTTGAAGATTTTTCTTTGTTTGTTTACGTGTAAGTCTGCCATCGCGGACCGAGGTAAATTGCGCGGGAAATCAACCTTTGAGAGAAAATGGCGACTGAAGCAAAGCGAGCGCGGGTTAGCGGGATAAAAAGGATCGCAGTGGAGGGAAATATCGGTAAAACTCGACTCTTTGTCATCTGTGCGATGTATAACTGTATATAGCACATTTTTGTGTAGTTAAAACTGATGCAGAGGCCTTAGATTCGACAACAAGTCTGAGTTTCGATCAGCTGTTTTCCATTTCGCGCTATTTTTCTTTGTTTACTTCCGTGATCGGTGGATTTGGGACTTGTTTTAACGATTTGATGTTCTTCTGTAATCTCCAAGCAGATCCTAGGGTGGCTGAAGACAGTGTCAAATTGGCCATACAGTACCCATGCGCCAGAGAGAGTCCATACGTACGCCACCCAAGTATGGACCATCTATGGCATGATACTGCCACCCAAGGATCTGCTTGGAGATTAGCTCATCAGAAAGTGACTTGAATCCCCTCTCTCAATATTCAGAAAAAGAACTATCATCACCATTAAAATCTCGATCACTTCTCAAATGAACGTTTTTTCTTGTTTTTCTAACCTGGTTTTTGGCCACGATTGAGTTGAAAATATTTTTAAAATTTCACGAATGCATTTCCTAGGGAATTATCTTTTGTCAACGCCTTGTGGGACCGGCCTTTGCACATAGCAAGGAGGAAATCTAAAGTAAGCTTGGGGCATTAAACATGCGGTAGTTTGTACACTTTTTTCCGATATTTTCCCCCCTCAGCTGTTGGAAAGTCTACGTTCATCTCCCTGCTAGAGGAGGAGTGTCCAGACTGGGCGATCGTGGGGGAACCTCTGTCCCGCTGGCAGAACGTGCAGTGTCAGAGTGAGAAGGACGAGGTTTGTACTAGTAAATATTCCTTCGGCAACATGTAAAAGTAGAAACCTACATGTATGGTCTAGACCTATTAGAGATATTGCACAATTTTGAACGCTCTGGTGGCTTTCCTTGGTACTGCAGCATCATTGACATGTTTGGACATGCCTAGGCTTTTGATCCACTTGCACTGAAATCTGATCATGTTCATCCGAAATTGTTTCGTTGAAATCTACCCCTATCCTAATCAGCAAGCATTGATTGTTCAGTCCTAATCCTCACCTTGTCCTCAGATCACCCTGCTACACTGACTAACCTGTGTTTGTTTGTTTGTTTAGGAGATCACACTGTCCCAGAAACATGGAGGGAACCTGCTGGACATGTTTTACTCCGACCCTCGGCGCTGGGCGTTCACGTTCCAGTCTTACGTGTGTCTGAGCCGCATGAGACACCAGCTCAAGCCTCCGCCGGGGCACCTCGAAACTGCTGCAGACCCGGTCATCTTCTACGAACGATCAGTCTACAGCGACAGGTTAGAGACTCAGAATTGCAGAACTGCTTTTTTCTTTTTTAAAACTTGTCCATGTATCTGTATCTGTTTAGCCAGTATAACCGCCCCTCGGCATAACACACCAGTTTTGCAGGCACATGGCGTGACAGTAGCTAACGTTAGCTACTAGTATATCACACCAAAAGATTTGTTACACTCAATCTTTGCACATTTAATTCTAGGGAGTTGTTAAAAGCTTTCTAGTGATGTTGCCCCAACTGTGCTTGATGGCAACGAGTTCCAGCCTACGATAGTTCTTAGAAAATATGAGTTTTTGAAAACAATCTGTGCTGGAGTTTCCCCACAGCAGATCGATGATGTGTTAACATTAACACCAAATTTCCGCCCTGCAGGTACTGTTTTGCCGCCAACTGTTTCTCCCTGGGCACGTTTAACGAGACGGAGTGGAACATCTACTGTGACTGGCACTCCACCATGATGGCCGCCATGGGGGAACTAAAACTGGACGGGATCATCTACCTCAGGGCTGAGCCAGAGGTGAGGGGTTAGAGGGGGGGGGTTAGAGGTGAGGGGGCAGGGGTTAGAGGTTAGACGGAGTGGAACATCTACTGTGACTGGCACTCTACCATGATGGCAGCCATGGGGGAACTAAAACTGGACGGAATCATCTACCTCAGGGCTGAGCCAGAGGTGAGGGGTTAGAGGGGGGGGTTAGAGGTGAGGGGGCAGGGGTTAGAGGTGAAAAAGAGTGGTACATAATTCTACTGTGACTGTCAATAGAGGGAAGGAACACAAAGTGGCTAAGTAAAGTCTTAGTGTATGGGTACTATGTTTCTTGTCAGTTGAGGAGGGGTAGAAAGTTTTCCTGATGACTGACATCTTGTTGTTCCCTGTAGGTGTGCCTGGAGAGGCTTCAGTTGCGAGGACGGCCAGAGGTGAGCATGTTACCGTATACTGTACTGTTACAAATTACAATACCATTCCAGTTTTATGTTCTACAGTAAGAGCGTCTGTGTACTGATACTAGTATTATACAGTACTGTTACCGTATTGTTCCTGTCCTGTAATGTACAGTGCTGTCCTGTACAGTGTCTCTGTAATGTTAAAGTACTGTTTTCGTTCTGCCAGGAGCGTCCAGTCTCCCTGGAGTATCTGGACCAGATCCACACACGACACGAGTCCTGGCTGGTCCACAAGGAAATCAGGTGGGAAATCTTCAAACAAAATATATATTCTTATTTTACTTATATTAACAGATAATCAGAAGCCTTCTCTTCAAAAATATGAATTATATCTACCAGTGTTCATGCTGTTGCATTAATTTAAAGACACTGCCTTACCTAAAATACCACAGAAAAAGAGAGACAGTCTTCTTATAGTCTAAGAAAATGACTTTTTGTTGTGCTGCAGTGTTTCAGACAGCCTGAAGGGGGCGCCGATCCTCAGTCTGGACTGTAACCAGAGTTTCCAGGGCGACACGGACAAACAAAAGGACATGATGGCACAGGTAAGGATAAATAAACAAACAAATAAACAAAAGGACATGATGGCACAGGTAAGAGTAAATAAACAATTGAAAGGTACAACAACATTAGCAGGACCTAGAGTAAATTCTGTAGCACCAGACTGGAAACAGTACAGGAGATATTTTTTAGTGATAACATTTTACATTACACAAGCATATCTTTTGTCTAGACTCTGAGCAACGACATTATATATTCTGTAGAATGTCCTTGCTCTGAGGTATAAGCAACACTGTTAGGAAGAATTCTCTGCCATTTTCAAGCTTATAGAACCCATGGTTAGTTATGGAAGAGAGTGAGTGAGTGAGTGAGAACCCCTGGCTAGCCTGATATTCATTCCTAACCATGGGAGGAAGGACAAAAATCTCTAGCTTATATCTTGTTTTAAAACCATATCATTTATCAAATATTATTTTCACTTGAGATCTGCTTGTGCCCCCCTCCCCCTACACACAGGTGAAGACCTTTGTTGCTGGGCTGTAGAACTAGACAAGAAGCGGACAGAGGTGGACCCAACATGCACTGGGCCTTTTAATGTGAATTTTAACACCAATGTTTGGAAATACTTTTTGTAAAATGGATATGAATTGCATAATGTGATTAACTTGTTTTTTTATATGTCATTGTAGTATTGCTCTTTTCAAGGAAACTGAAAATACTCAGTACGTTTGACTTGTAGGTGTAGTGTTAGCATGTACATGTACACTAATTGTCTGATTAGGAAGTAAAACTGTAAGAAATTTTAAGGATTACTGCATGGAACATTAGTGTATTTTTAATTTATTTGTAAATGATCTGTATATTTTGGAATTATTAATGGAATGTTTTTATCATGATATTAATGATGTACAAAATTGAAAACTTCTGTACCGAATGACTCCTTTGCCAGGTTCTGAATAAAATTTTTATTTGATCCTCAAATTTAGGCTGTGTTATTCCTTTGGATGTGCTATTTCGGTAGAAAAAAATCAAGAACTGATATGATTTATGCAAATGAGAAACTCTAGGAATACACCAGTCATAAGGGTTAACAACATTTGGCAAAGCTATCAGATTTTGGAAGACACTTAACATGCAAAGAATGTGTGAAATTTAGTGAACGTGCATTAAGTTAACTACTTAACGTTTAGTGAACATGTACAAAACAAAATCAGTGTTTCCTGAGTGATAATTATGTTGATGATACCACAAATGTGCATAAGATATCATACAGCAGGCAAGGTGGGTGTTTCACTCATTGTGTGGGGGTGAATTTAATACAAATTATACACAAACAGTAATAGTGAACAGTACATACAAATATGCTGATAACAATTTTATACATGTTTGTATACAAGGATGGCATATTATGGATGTTAGTATCACTTTCTACCTATAAGTAGTAGTAGAAAAAAAACATAATTGTTGTGTTTATATGTCATCACAATGAATGTTAGAAAAGGTTAGTGTAATTCCTGGACAGAAAAAGTCCACTGAATGATAGCCTTGTTTCACTTTCCTGCAGTACCATTTCTCACCACTAGAGGGCACAGCTGACTGGTGTGATGTACATGTACATGGTGTACCATGATTACAGTATGTAAGATCTATTGATAAATGGCAAAAAAGCAGCACATGTTAAAGTAGAGAAAGTACTTAGGCATGTTTCAATCAATCCTTAAGTATCATCTGACATACATTGTATGCACGATTTATAAACATCAGCAATATATGTTTTGTACATGTATGATGCTACTTTCCTCATAACCATTTCTGAGTAGCTACAAATTGAGAAGTTTTGAATGAACACTGGTCACTTCAATGTTGGAAAAGACACCACAAATTGGAGCATCACATTCTACAAAATCTACCTTGTCCTACCTGTGTTAAAGATCAGAGACCATGATTGTACTTCAGAATTTCTGTGTATAGAAACCACCTGATGGTACCTTAGATAGACTGTGGCAAAACCAGCTTCCTTTTGTAGTAACTAAACTAACTGTTTCACACAAAAAAACTGTTACTCAAGCAACTGGGTAGATTTTGAAAACTCAGTGACTGACGAAAAGTAGTGGATGCTACTTAAAACATCTGACATCTGATAATAGTTTCATCGGCTACATATAGTGGCGAGAAGCAGAACTCCAGTCAGAAGCTCTGAGGAAGGTGTCTGATAGACATGCACCAAAACATCAGCACCAATAGGTGAGAAATCATAGTTGTGTAAAAGAAAACTATTGTATCCAATGCATCTATTAATTTCAAAATCTATCCAGTTGCTTGAGTAACAGTTTTTATTCTTAACCTGGAAGTCTAACCTTTATCAACGTAACTAACGGTTTATAGTGACTAACAACTGCTGAGTCACTTCACACATACTTACTGCACAATCTTATACATGTTCATGATTCTACTATGTATTAATAATTACACTTCTGTGTGACATATCAAGTATTGCTGTCAGAGTTTTGATCATAATTTGATAATAAATCATAATTAATTAAGATTACAAACAGGATCTTCAGTTATCAAGAACATACTTTCAAAGATAGATAATATCTAATTCATAATTGCATAATTAATATTGCTGTTCCTTTATGCAGGATATAACGCATAGTGATATTGCCTCGATTCACTTTTCAGATTTTAAACCTTTTCCTCATTAAATGCTTTTCTCTAGTAAACTTTTATCAACAGAACTTAAACATTTTGTTGACAACTCTTTATAACATTGGCCCAAGTCTTATAGTTTGAAATTAATGCAAAAATGATATTCTAACTCAGTAAACAGTGTATCTACTAGTATTTTGGCCACATGCGAATGTCTACATGATTGACACATTTTCACCACTGTCCATATTTTGATACATTCCTTAGCTAGTCATATCTGTCACAACTTGTAATCTCGGCTGGCAAGTTTTGCTGTTTTCTGTGTTTTTTTTAATCAAATTTGTTAAATGTTTGGCTAGAGTGTAACAACATGTAACTTACAAGATGGCGTTTTACTCTTCTCTCATGCAGACTTGCATTTTCACTGTGGAAAACTTCACTGTGAAAGCTGTGAATATTTTCTTCCAAAAAAACTTTCATTTTTACAACATTCTGATTATCATACCTCTATATAGACACAGCATTTTGAAAACTCCTTTTCTATGATCTGTGATTCATGACAAGTTTAAATCTTTAATTTCTGCAAAATTACAATCATCATATTTTTCCAGCAAAATGTGGAATTTTTCAGTAGGCTGGATTTGAGCATCTCAAAAACTGAAGAAGAAGACGATACAAAATTCCCGAGTTCAAAGATTCTTGGATAAGAAATGCTGAAAGCGGTTTCCTTAGCAAGATTTAAGACAACTTAAACTTGTAACCATAACTAGGAGGAGTTAGTGATTCCCCCATCCAAAAATTGTTTGTGTATTTTTACAATTTTTTTGTGTGTTATAAACAGGGGTTTTGTGGTTCTCCTAGCAGACATTATGTTTATTTTGTTTGTTTGTTTATTTGTTATAACCACGAGGAGTTCTATGTTTTGCCCATCAGACGTTATTTGTTTATTTTTGTTTATTTGTTATAGCCATGAGGAGTTCTGTGATTCGCCCATGAGGTTGCGGTAGTCCGGCGGCTGCTTTGTCTGTCCACATGGAGTCTTCAGCACCTCACCTCCGGTACTGGAGATGGGCTCCTTCTGCAGAGGGAGGGAGATCTAGCTCAGAGGGACACGCAAACAAACATACACACACACCCTAACTCTCCCCACCTGTACTGGAGATCGGCTCTTTCTGCACTGGGGAGAGGAGTCGACTTTCACTTCAGAGGGAAACACAGACAAACATGCACACAAACCCACCCAAACACTAACCCTCAGTACGGCTCCTTCTGCAGAGATAGAAGAGGTCTGCTTTAGATGGAGACTAACGAATGCACAACCAAATACATGCATCCACATAAACCCACCATGTGGAAGTTGGTTAATCTCCAAGCTGATCTGGCAGCAAGAGCGTTATGGTTAAAACTGGTGGCTGAGGGCTCTCTCTACATGGCCAATTTTAATCATGACGCTTTTGCTGCCCAGGATCTGCTTTGGATGAGGTCCTAGACAAACGAACACACACACACACACGTATACACACACACACAAACCCACCATGTGGAAGTTAACTAGGTCCAGAGAGAGCCACTAGTTCACACACACACGCACGCACCCGCACAAACACACACACACACACACACAAACAACCACAAACCCACCATATGAAAGTTGACCAGGTCCCATAGCGAGCCATGCGAGAGCTGATTTGTGCCAAAGAACTGGTACGTGTTGTCTGACGTGTCGATGAGGAAGTGTTTGAAGCGGCCCTCCCCGCGGTAGGAGATGGTATAACCCCAGACCCGCTCGCTCACCCGGACCAGGAAACTGCCGACTGGTCGACCCTCCAGAAGGGCCTCCGCCTCCTGTCGTGAGATGATGCCTGGGGAAGGGGGAAGATTTTTAACATTGTCAAGACTTCTCTTCTGTAATCTTATTACTACAAGCATGCTGTCCCTAAGGCTCCCTGACCTAAAGGTTTCTAACATTGTCACCCGCACCAGAAAACTGCCGACCAGCCGACCTTTGACCAGTGACTCTGCCTTCTGTCAGGAGATCATGCCTGGAGAGGAGGGGGCAGGTTTCTGACGTTGTCATATCTCTCTTTATGCCTATCTTCAGTTTTAAACTGAACCGGCTGCTACAGCCTGTGTTTACACAATCTCTTCTACCTGAGGTCAATGATCCCCATCCCAACTGTTGGGCAGGCCAGCCACCAGGGGCATGATTTAGTCAGGCTTTTGGGTACCACATACATGTACTATATACCATATACATGTACTACTGGCGTTTGATGGAGGGATTTTGGTACCATACAAACTCACCTTAACTTATGTCTTGGAAACCCAGTTTATAACACCAAGAGAAGGTTATGTTACAGTTACACTACCATGCATACCTACATTGTAAACATGTTGGCAGAATGTACTGTGCCTGTGTGAAAGCTGTAATGTATTGTGATTATGTGACCTGTGACATACCCTGCAGGAGCAGAGCAGAGTTACTCACGGACGAGTCCACAAACAGTGAACAGAGCATCCATCAGGATGAAAAGGACTATGATGAGCACTTCAGCAGAAGGTATTGTTACAGATTGTTTTCAATGCCTTACCGTGGAACCACTTAGCGACCTGGTGCGTCCGTGCGTCCATGCCGGCCTGTCTCGGCTGCTCAAAGTCCTGGAACCACCGGATGACCTCCTGCCGAGAGGTCGGCCGCGCCGGGAGGGAGGCTTGGGTCGGGGACGACGTCCTGAAAACGGAGAAAAGTTAACACAGAAAATTAAGAAGCTAATCCATGATGTTTGCTTTCACACAGTCTAGCCTAACAAACTACAGATTTTCATGAAAATTCATCTGTGTTGGTAGTAATCATAGCAAAACGTTGAACTAAGTCACTCTGTATTCCAACACACAATTGTACAGGGATCAAATTTTCAGCTTTGTTTATTCTGGCTCAAACACACTCATACATCATAATGTCCTGCCACTTGCTACATAATATAACCCAACACTGCAGAGTGTCTGCTACAGCACCAGTTACAATGGGCAAAGCCATGTAGAGCTGTAGTGTAATATAGAAACAGTTGAGGTACCTGCTATCAGAGGGGCTGCCTGTGTCTCCACTGAATTTCCATGGTTGCAATGTTAACATATGAATACAGAGGACATGTGATATATATCGATAAAACAATCAACTTTATCAATGCTCTTCTTAAACTCACTATGAAGACATCGCTATAACCTTGAGTGTTATTAGACAAGCTCTTTTGCCTCAGTGCTCCTCAAAGATTGTGTCTAAAAACTTACCAGTATCTGTATCTATATCTGTATAGCCAGCATACATGTAACTGCCCTTTGGTACTTGAAAGCATGACTATTTCTTGATCTTCTCTAATCTGGTATCAGATACTTAGGTGATGATGATGATAAGATAATTAGTAAGAACTCACTTGCTACTGCTTGTGGCTGTAGCGGCTCCCCCTAGTGACTGTTTCTGTAACTGCATGGCGACGTCATACACAGTTTGTTTCTTGTTGTCGGCCATCGCCATGTGGACCGACCGCCGAAACTCCTCGCGAGCGTTCCGCGCCAACATACTTCTTCTCTTGTCTGCCTCCTTCTGTTTTTGTACTGGAAAATAAACATTTATTTATTCATTCATTCTGATTTCTCTCAGTAGTTTCCAGGTTTTTGAATGCAACACATTTATATTCACTATGTCATTCACTCATTCACTCCATAATTCACTCATTCAATCATTTATTTCTGAACTAGCCCTTTCTTTTTCTGACTGCAACACAAATATTCATTTATTTACTCATTCGTTCATTCACATCATTTGTTTTCCTTGACAGCCTCCATTTGTACTGCAATACAAATTCATTCGTCCGTCCATCCATCCATCCACACATCCATCCATCCATTTGTTTATTCATTTGTCCATACATCCATCCATTCATTCATCCATTCTTTTATCCATTCCTTCATTCCTTTTCAGAAATGCTCACATTGCTCCCTCCACTCCCTGTCCTTCCTCTCCTGCTCCTGTTCAGCCTCCTTGATGGCCGTCTCTCCTTCCCTCCCTCCCTCTCCTCCCCCATCCTTCTCTCCTTCCCTCCCTCCCTCTCACATTGTTCCCTCCACTCCCGCTCCTTCCTCTCCTGCTCCTGCTCAGCCTCCTTGATGGCCGTCTCTCGCGCCTCCTTAAGACTCATGTACAGCTCCTTGGCTCTCTTCTCAGCCTTCTTGTGCACCTCCTCAAAACTCCGCCTTCTCTCCATCTGCTCTTTTCTCTGCAAGGAGCCAGGATGAATCAACAACGTTTCTTAACTTTACAACATTTTGTGATTGGGATTGCCATGCCTTGCCTCTATTATTGCTCTCCCTCAATTTGAATGTTGAAGTCTTTAGAATGATTTACATTGTACATTGTTAAGTTCTGGGGGATATTAGCCTAAGAAAAATCATTACATGATCACAGCTGTTGCTGCATGCAGGCCTTGAAACTTCATCAAAATTGAGAAATATTCTGGGATCAATTGACCAAGTAGAAAAATAAGCATATGTAGCAGCCACTATAAGAGTTAAAATCACAGCGAACAACAAACTTGCAAGATGCCAGGACGATTTCTGCAGCATTTCTGGATGCTGGACTATCCAGAGCCGTGCCTGATTAAAGCCTGGTTCTAGATGCAACACAATGTAACAGCAACCATGATTTTTGCCTTTAGTGCAACATACACTGGGAAATCTTTCTGCCCCTGATATTGGCTACGACAACAACAAATGCAGCAGCTGGACACAAAAGCGATGGACGACACAGACACGGCTAGAAGTCTGACATGGGTCTCACCTGTAGTACCGGCTCCTGACAATTGTTGCACTAAAACCAGAAACACCAGAAAACTGTTAACCTAACTACAACATGTACAAATGTATAATTGCCAGGGCTTTTCATTGAGCTTCTGATTCCAACATGCACAGAGCAGGCTTTTATGACAAGCCTTCTCGCCAATCCAAAAAGCAGCAAATTTCAAGACTCCTGTTTTTCAGGTTGTCTGGTCTTATTCTAACTTTCCTGAGAGAGCCAAAATTAGCACTTTCACATTGGTTTCAGCTTATCTATTATTTCAGCATTTGCAGGACATGCATTCAACTTTTACAGCGGCTGCCCTTCTTTTTTTGAAATGGTCTGGTTGCATTCAGGCATTTATGATAACAAAATGCAGGTGATCCCACTTGTGAGCAGGGGTAGTGATTAGAGCGCTACCAACCATCTCAAGTTCGTTACAGCAAAATCATTGAGCTCTTCTATTTACTGCAATGGCTGCTTCTCCTGGACTAAACCATTTAGCCATGAAATAGACAATAGCACCTTGTATAAAGCTGTGGTCAGTGTTCACAGTATCTCATGCACGTATCAGTGTTTTTGTTTTAAATTTGTGTTTTTCTGTACGATTTAAAAATATAAATGCCATTCAGATCAGCTGCCATGCATCAGCTCCTGATGGCTGTGAATGGTTGATTGCAAACCATGCAGGCTGCTTTGTTTCTGCAATGTTGGTATGTGAAATTTCGATTAGAATTGACAAAATGAAGTAGAGGTCACACCGACCTTGAGTTCTGCCTCCTTCCTCTTCTCGAGCTCCTTGGCTTGTTTCTCCTGCTCAGCCCACGCCTTCCGCGCACGCTCCGCAGCTAGCTTGGCTTCCTGGAAGGAATTAATGAGTGAGTGAGTGAGTGTTTGTGTGAGTGAGTGAGTGAGTGAATGAGTGAGTGAGTGAGTGAGTGAGTGTTTGTGTGAGTGAGTGAGTGAGTGAGTGAGTGAATGAGTGAATAAGTGAATAAGTGAGTGAGTGAGTGAATGAATGAATGAATGAATGAATGAATGAATGAATGAATGAATGAATGAATGAATGAATGAATGAATAAATGAATTAATGAATGAGGGGGAGGGTAAGGGGGGTAGGTGATCAGAGATTATACATTTAACAAAACAACAAAGTTAATAGTTATAATAAGTATCACCCTTCACTTAACCGCGACAGGGGCCGACATTGTCTACCAGATACCTTTGACCCAGTGTTGACGTCACACTTCAAAGAAGCCACGTGACGAGCCCCACTGGGTCAGTCTACTGACGAAGACCAAAGTGACTGGTCGAAAGCAGGGGTTCTGCAGTTGTCCTACCAGTTTCTCCTTCTCCATGGAGACAGGATAATAATAAACAAACAAACAAACAAACCCACCTTCCTGCTGGCGTGTGCCTCCGCTTCCTTCCTCCTGGCCTCCTCAGCAAGTCGCTGTTTCTCCTTCTCCATGGAGACTTAGGATAATAATAAACAAACAAACAAACAAACCCACCTTCCTGCTGGCGTGTGCCTCCGCTTCCTTCCTCCTGGCCTCCTCAGCCAGACGCTGTTTCTCCTGCTCCAGTTTCTCCTTCTCTGCCTGCAGCTTCGCTCGAATCAACTCCTCGTTCTTCCTCCTGCAAGGAAAATTACAAGGAGTCTTAGGATGACGACATATATACCCCATGCTTCTGCTATTTATTGTCATCATCTTACTATTATCAAGACAAGAAAACATTGTTATTCCTGTAGGAGAATATAATATGGAACTCTTAGGAGAACAAAGTTCATTCTCTACCATGGTCAAGAACAACAGTAACACAAGTAGAAATTTTCTTCCTCCCTTCCATGGAACTATTAGGATGGAATATTTGACCCAACTGCTGAATTATGGAGACAAGAGACCAATCTTCTTCTAAGATGTAACAGTAATTTTCTGGGAAAAGGATCAAAGATGTAGTACAACTGACTTCAGCTCTAAATTTCTAATCTCTAAGTAGATGTTTTGGTGTAAATTTGCAAATGGATACTGCCTGGCCAATTTGATACTGTATTTGCAGCCACCGAAAGATCTGCTTGGAGGTCATAATTTCCGGGAAAACCTACTTCAGCTCCTCGGCCTCCTTCTCTGCCAGCCTCTGGGCTCTCAGCTGATCCTCCCGGTCCATAATCTCCTCAATCGTCGCATCTCCCCTCCCCTCCCCCATCACCCAGGTCCAGGGTTCCCCGTCCGCACCTTTCAGGAACTGTATCCTTCTCTTCCCTGTAATAAACAAACAAACAAACAAACAAACAAACATTGCAGTTCCTGGTTCACCAATGGTTCCTTGCACTGTTTCACTGAAGACTACACACATACTGTGCTCTTATGTACCTTGTACATTTTAAATCATGAATATAGTCTGACTGAAATGTATAATTTTAATGATACGATTTAATGACTGTTTTTAAAACACTGAACGATGACCAGGATTTTATTTCACTGTCTAACACTTTTAATCACACAATTCAGCCTTGTGGCTGCCCAGTGATGGACCTGTATTGTGATTTGTGTGTTTTGAAATAAACCAATGATGACGAATCAGTGCATGCCATCTACTGGTAAATGTATTTTGACATGTACATGTAAGTGATCCAGTTCAAAACAGGTTTGGGAGCTTTCTAGACTTGAAGACCTACCAGGTTGAAGACTCACCAGGTTTAGGCTGTTTCTTGGGTTTCTTGGCCTCCTTCTCATCCCACTCCTTGTACCTGCGGACCTGCTCTTCTCGCATCTTAAAGAACAGCAGCTGCTTCTGCTCCTCGGACAGCTCCGAAAGGATCTCAGGGTCCACGTACATCGTCTTTAGGATCTGCTGCAGCATGGCGGCTGGGTTCTAGGCTAGGGAAACAGAGGAAAGTCATTATCAGCTGCAGCATGGTGCCTGGGGTCTTGGCTATAAAAACAAAGGAGAGTCATTAACTCGCTGCAGCATGGTGTCTGGGTTCTAGACTAGAGACACGATCTCAGGGTCCACGTACATCGTCTTCAGGATCTGCTGCAGCATGGCGGCTGGGTTCTAGGCTAGGGACAGAGGGAGAATATACTAGCTGCAGCATGGTGCCTGGGTTCTAGGCTAGGGACAGGGGGAGAACATGTTATACTAGCTGCAGCATGGTGCCTGGATTCTAGACTAGGGACACAGGGAATATATCAGCTGCAGCATGGTGGCTGGGATCTAGGCTAGGGGCAGGGGGAATACCTTTTACTAGCTGCGGCATGGTGCCTGGGTTCTAGACTATGGTAACAGAGGAATACATGTACATGTATGTCCTAGGCTTATAATTACTAGTATTAGGACAGAAAAAGATTAAATAGTCTTGATTGCAATTTGTGTAGCCTCATTCGCTTTTGCCGGCCGCCCAACATTCAGCCGGCCCCCGGACTATGTAGGGAGGCTACAATTTGTGTACCAGGAAACAGACTAAAGCCTTATAATAATTAGTAAAGGCATGACACTGGTGTTTTGTATAGAGAGTTCAGGCCCCATAAGACAAGACTGATGCATGTACTATAGGTTGGGTTGATCTGCTCACACCAGATGGACCTAGAAGCTATTGTTAATATTGCCTCCTCTAAACTAAAGTGTTCCGTGTTGACTGTAAACAAGCACTCAGCACTCTTTACCTTCAATCACACACGTCTTACCTAAACTCACAACAGCTTCTGTGCAAGGAATAAACAGACCGTTCAACTTAAGTATATACAGTTGTCAAAGTTTTTAACAACAAGTAAAACACTATTAGTATAGAGAGATACTATAGACATGATCAAGACCGATCACAAAAGGCTGCAGGTCTAAGAAAAGTTGTCCCAGCCAGTTCAACTGTTTGTACTAATTGCAATGTATAATAAAATGTAACGTTATATGGTTTTGACTATATGCTGGTCCTTCCAGAGTTTGCCTAGACTTTAGTTGACAAATTAATTTTTCTTCCCTGTTCCTGGTACAACTGTGGCTGGCTGAATAAGGAGGGCTGCATATGCCAGGAGGAAGTGTAACATGATCTGGTACACCTGCTGGGATTACATGTTTTACAACTACCTGTACTTGTGCTTCGTGTTCTAACAATAAGGCCACACCAATTTAATTTGTTGGTTCTCGGATTCGCCTCTTCATTTTTTTCTGATTTGCAAAAAAAAAAAATGGTTCTGAATCAACTAAAAAGTGCTCATATTTTGCCCCCAACAGTTGAGGAAATTCCTTTTCTTCCTAGTTGTTACAGTTTTTTCCATCTATCAATGCAGTGGTTTGATTAAAAGTTCAAAATTTATACTTTAAATTTTAACCCAGCCTTTTTTGTTGACTTCATGGCTCATATTGTAGCATTTGGGGCTATAATAGGATGCCTAGACCTGTTTTTGGCGACGCCTCAGGGGGGAGCCTAATGGTACAGTATTGTGTGCAGTTTGCAAGAATTCTAGGAATTGCACAGGCATTTTTTTTACCATTTTCGCATGCGCGAAAATGGTAACTCAGACGAGATTGAGATTGGATTGATGGATGGATCAACGGTTCCACCCTTCAACGGCCATGCAGACATGCTAAGTCACCGCATGTCGCTAGATGTCGTTGTTGCGACGGCCATGCAGACATGCTGAGTTGCCGCCTGTCGCTAGATGTCGTTGTTGCGAGTGCACTTTTTACCATTTATGCCTTGGACGTTTGTATACTTTCCATTATGGTTGCTAATTTCAAAATCATAGTTCTATTGATGTTGCATAACAAAGCTGCTGACAAAACAAACTTAATTTGTCTTGAACAATAACTTGATTTTATTATTTGCCAAAAATGTTGATAAAGACATGTCTATAATCACAGTAATCAAGGATTTTAATAAACTGCATAAATTATGTCAATGAGCATTAGCAGTGTGGATTAGTCTAGATGTTAAGATTTCCATTAGCCGGCAGTCCAGAGGGTCACACGTCCGACCAATCAAGGCGCTGCAGGCAAAGCTTATTAAAAGCCTCCTTTTCAGGCGTTTCCGGATCGGTGTTTTTGTGTGTGTGTGTGTTGGGGGGGGTATTTTCTGACCAAACATAGATCGCACGCAATAGAAGCTCCGGCCTACATAGCTGTCCGTGGAACTATTGATATTACCTGGGTGCCTAACTTTCACCAACATGTCTTTTGTATTTTAGGAAATTAATTAATTAATGAGTGAGTGTTTAATTAACTTAAATAGGTATTGCATTGTTTGGCAAGGTATTTTCCATTGACAATTTTTAATGGATCAGGTTGATCAGATGATATAATGTAAACAATTATATATGATTAGTAAAAGATGACTTTTGAAGTTCTCTTCGAGTATTATTTTAGGGTTGAATCAGGGTCAACGCGAAAAAAAATCATGATCCGGTGATCGACATCATGCCCCCCCGCACACTTCATGTATTCAGTGTTCTAAATACCCGTCTTCAGTCTGCAATTTGCAGATAGATTTTCAAGATTGCAGGATAAAAATTACACAATCTGCAATTTGAAGAATGAAAAA